TCGGCGAGGAACTCACCCTTGGCGATGGGTACATAACCCACCCCAAAATCGGCGCTTATCGAAGTTGTAGAGGGTTCGTGTTTTCCGACAGGGCGATATTTCCCTGTCTCGGGACGAATATGTACTCGACGAGGGCGCGCGTATAATAATAAAAAAACGGACTCTGCTACATCGCTGGTGCGATCGTGGTCTGTCTGGGTGCATTTGTCCAAACCTACGCCTTCAAGTACATGGCTGAGAAACTCACGTCTCGACTGCGCAACATCCACTTCACAGCCCTATGTCGACAGGATATCGGCTTCTTCGACGAGAAGAAGAACGCGACTGGAGCTTTGACAGCTGATCTGTCCACTAATGCGACAAAAGTCGCTCTCATCTCGGGAGACTCTCAAGGCCGCGTCGTTCAAGTTCTTTTCACGTTTGCAGCCGCTCTTGTGGTCTCCTTTGCCTTTGGAAGCTGGTTACTGACCCTGGTAATGATGATGGTGTTCTCGTTCCTCATTATGGGCCAAGCAGCTCGTGGGAAGCACATGAAGACTGCTGGAGGGTTGTCGGACGAACTATCCGGTGTCGGTGCTCAAGCTTCCGAGGCGCTTAGTAACATCCGTACCGTGGCTGCACTGGGCTTGGAGACGTCTCTTACCGGTAAACTGTCGGATTTACTTCAAGAACCTTTGACTCGTGGTCGTAGAGAAGCTCACATCAACGGACTAGCACTCGGGTTTGGATCCTTCGTTCTCTTCGCAGCTTATGCTCTGGCATTTTGGTACGGTGGGAAACTGGTGGACGACGGAGATATCACGTTCAAGGAGCTGATGAGAACCCTTATGGCCGTTATGATGTCTGCTCAAGGCATTGGGATGGCGTCAACATTCGTCGCAGACTCGGATCATGCGTTGAAAGCTGGCAGTGCGATTGTGAGCCTCCGCGATCGAGAGCCTCCCATTGATTCTTTCGATGAAAAGGGCCTTCGACCTGCTCAACTCGAGGGGAGAATCGAGTTCAAGAATGTCTCGTTCAGATACCCAGCGAGACCTGTAGTCACTGTACTACGCGACTATAACCTCACTATTGAAGCCGGACAGACGGTCGCTTTCTGTGGACCAAGTGGAGGAGGTAAGAGCACTTGCGTCTCGCTTATTGAGAGGTTCTACGACCCCGTTCAAGGCCAAGTATTGCTCGACGGGGTTGACACGAAGGAGCTCAACCTCAACTGGCTACGTAGTCAGATTGGGCTCGTCGGACAGGAACCCACGCTCTTTATCGGCTCCATCGCGGAGAACATCGCGTACGGACTCACGGATACACCCACTCAGCTGGAGATCGAGGACGCGGCCAAGATGGCCAATGCGCATGGATTCATCACCAAATTCCCGGATGGCTACAGCACTCAAGTGGGCATGAAGGGAGAACAGCTCTCTGGGGGTCAGAAGCAACGTATCGCCATTGCACGAGCCATCTTGAAGAACCCGAACATTTTACTGCTGGATGAAGCCACGAGTGCACTGGACTCGGAGAGTGAGAAGGTGGTGCAGGAGGCGCTGGACAAGGTGGTGGCACTGAAGCGACGTACGACGATCATCATCGCTCACCGGTTGTCGACGATCCGCAAGGCAGACAAGATCTGTGTGGTGAGCGGTGGGAAGATTGCCGAGCAGGGCACTCACCAAGAACTAATCCAGTTGAAGGACATCTACGCGAAACTTGTTGCTAAGGCAACAGTGTAGGACAATCTTTTGGAAAAATATCGAGGTACGAGACAAAGTTTCTGAATTGAATACATACGTATTCTGCGTCCTCTTCGTGCTCCACATTTTTCCTCTACAAATTTCAAACTTTAGAATGCTTAACAGACGAATTCTAAATTTAGCGGGTCAGATCTTTATTGAGGCGCAACCTTTGAAATGGTTCCGACGGCTGTTAGTTAGCACCGTGTTGATTACGCATCAGATTAACTTTAACAGACTAGAAAGCTGTATTTATACTGTAGTGCCAAAGAATGCATGAAGTTGCGGTAGAATCAGCCGCAACTTCATGCGTTTCAGGTTTCCTACGTACCGTCGTTCGTTTAGGTCAGTAGCTCACTGCTGTCGCCTCACGTCATCCCATCACCAGGCGGATTGGGTGTAGGCAACCACGAAGACGAAACGAACTCGCACAATTCTACGGTCGCAGAAGGTTCGTATAGGGCAGTACCATCACGATCTTACCGGTAAGTTACGAGTGGAGGCACCACACCTCATCTCACTTTGCAATTACCTACGTCGACGTCACGCGGATTCCAGTCGACATGGCGCAGCCTCAGCTCCATCAGGAGATTGTCGATGGAACTGACCGCGCTCCACAAAATGACTACGTTCAAGTGATGACCCCGCGTGGCAACGACGCTATCCAGGATGTCGTGTCCGTAGTCCCCACAGTCCACGCTGCAAACCGTGAAACCTTAGAACCTACGAAAGACAGCGAGAAGGTGCCGACGATCCCTTTCAAGGAACTGTATCGCTATGGTACAACCGCCGACAATCTGCTATTGTCCATCGGTGTGTTGTTTGCCGGTGCAAACGGAGCTCTGTTCCCATGCATGGCTTTGGTTTTCGGTGATGCAATTGAAGCGTTCGCTCAAGCTGATGGAGGTGTCGACATGGACGCAGTCAACAAAGCCGCTTTAAACTACCTCTACATCGCTGTGGCTCTCTTCCTTACCGACTACGTCGCCTACGTCGTGTTCGTCAACTCGTCCGAACGACAGATGAAGGCTCTACGAGACGCAGCATTTAAACACATGCTGCACATGAACATCGGATGGTACGACAGCAGTGACCCGTTGACTCTTTCCAGTCGTCTTACTGGTGATACAGTTAAAATCAAGGATGGGATGGGCAACAAGCTAGGCGACTCTGTCAAATACACGTGCCAATTCATCACTGGCTACGTGATCGGCTTTGTCCGTGGATGGGACATGAGTCTCGTCATGGCGTGCATTATGCCGTTCATGGTGGCGTCGTTAGGTATCCTCATGACGAGTCTTCGCAAACGTGCCGTACACTCGCAACAAATGTACGCAGAGGCAGGTGCGGTGGCAGAAGAAACGCTGAGCTCCATCCGCACTGTGGCCTCGCTGAATGCCGAGAAATTGGCGATCGACAAGTACAATGAACGCGCGGTTAAAGCCGAGGAGACGAATATCCAGATGGCCAAGTTCGCGTCCTGTGTCTTTGGTCTCTTCATGTGCAGCATCTGGCTCATGTATGCGGCAGGTCTCTGGTACGGCGGCTCGAAAGTCGCACAGGACAAAGCTTCGCCAAGTGAAGTCTTTCAAGCGTTCTTCGGTGTCCTCATGGGAACGATCTCACTGGGTCAGATTACACCTAACATCTCCGCTGTAGCGGAGGCTAAGGGTGCCGCTGCACAGATCTACAAGATTCTAGACACACCATCAAACATCGACGCATCTAGAGACAATGAAGGAGAGAAACCAGACTCTTGCGTTGGTCGTATCCAGGCTATTGGCGTGAATTTCACGTACCCGAGTCGACCGGATGTGCAGATTCTGAACGACTACAACGTCACCATCGAGCCTGGTCAGACTGTCGCCTTTGTAGGTGCGAGTGGTGGTGGCAAGAGTACGCTCATCTCGCTGCTTGAACGCTTCTATGATCCTCAAGACGGCACCATCCTACTTGATGGAAGAGATGTGAAGACGCTGAACGTGAAATGGCTACGGTCACAGATCGGTCTTGTCTCTCAGGAGCCCGTACTGTTCGCCACTACCATCTTGGAGAACATCGCAGCGGGTGGGAATGGCGTCACTCGTGACCAAGTTGTGGCAGCGGCGAAGCTGGCGAATGCACACACGTTCATCATGTCGTTACCAGAGCAGTATGACACACTGGTAGGTGAGAAGGGTGTGTCGTTGTCAGGCGGTCAGAAGCAGCGTGTAGCCATCGCCCGAGCGATTGTGCGTGAACCGAAGATTCTGGTGCTGGACGAGGCGACAAGTGCACTTGATGCAGAGAGTGAGCGTGTGGTTCAATCTGCTTTAAACGATCTGATGGACAAAACCCGGATGACGACGCTGGTGATCGCTCATCGGTTGAGTACAATCCGCAAAGCTGACAAGATTGTGGTGGTGAATGTTGGTCATGTAGTAGAGGAAGGCAACCACGACGAATTGGTTGCGATTAAAGACGGTATTTACCGGAAGCTGTACACGATTCAAGAGGAGAAAGCGCAGGAAGAAGCTCAAGCTGCTGCCACAGCGCTGAAGGACACTGAAGGTGGAGAGACCCACTCACAAAATTTACGCCAACATAGTAGCCGGACTGTCATTAGTGATCACTTGGAAGAGAACAATACGGTGACTTTGGAGACGAAAGATAGGAAGAGAACGTTTACGATCTTCGATGCCATCGCATTCTCTCGTCCCGAGAGATCAGCGTTCATCGTTGGTATCTTCGCTGCGGCTGTGATGGGGTGTGCGCTGCCAAGTTCTGCTGTACTAATCAGTGAGTTGGTTGCGACCATGACAACGAACTATACACTGTACAAGGCCAATAACGTCCAATCTGCTCTGGACGATCTCAAGCACGACGTGATGGTGTATGGACTCTGCTACGTGGGCGGATCTGTCGTCATGTTCCTAGCCGCTGCCACTCAGAACTACTGCTTCAAGTACATGGCGGAGAAACTCACCTCCCGACTACGAGATGTTCACTTCACCGCACTATGTCGACAGAACATTGGCTTCTTCGATGAAAAGAAGAACGCAACTGGAGCCTTAACGGCCGATCTCTCGACGAACGCAACCAAAGTGGCTCTGATCTCGGGTGACTCGCAGGGACGCGTGGTCCAGGCCATCTTCACGTTTGTCGCAGCGCTGGTAATCTCCTTCACGACTGGAAGTTGGCTGCTAACACTCGTCATGTTGGCGGTGTTCCCTTTCTTGATCGCCGGTCAAATGGTTCGCATGCGTCAAATGAAGTCTTCGGGTCATTTATCGGATGAACTGTCGGAGGTTGGGGCTCATGCTTCAGAAGCTTTGAGTAATATCCGTACCGTCGTCTCTCTGGGACTGGAGAACTCGATTTGTGGCAAGTTCTCGGCCTTGCTGGAAGAGCCATTGGCCAGTGGACGTCGTGAGGCTCAGCTCAATGGCCTTGCGCTTGGCTTCAGCTCGTTCATTCTCTTTGCGACGTACTCGCTTGTATTCTGGTACGGCGGAAAGTTAGTGGATGACCAGGAGATCAGCTTCAAAGAACTCATGAGAACGCTCATGGCCATCATGATGTCGGCGCAGGGTATTGGCAATGCAACTTCCTTCATGGGCGAGTCTGACAATGCCCTGAAGGCTGGTAAGGCGATCGTTGATCTTCGAGACCGTAAACCGCCTATTGATTCCTTCCAAGAAGGAGGGCGACGTATCGACCAGCTCCAAGGCAAAATTGAGTTCAAGAACATCACGTTCCGATACCCGACGAGGCCAGAAATCACAGTACTCAAGAACTACAACCTCACTATAGAGGCTGGGCAGACTGTGGCTTTCTGTGGACCTAGTGGAGGAGGTAAGAGCACTGGCGTCTCGCTTATTGAGAGGTTCTACGACCCCGTCGAAGGCCAAGTATTGCTCGACGGGGTTGACACGAAGGAGCTCAATCTCAACTGGCTACGTAGTCAGATTGGACTCGTCGGACAGGAACCCACGCTCTTTATCGGCTCCATCGCGGAGAATATCGCGTACGGACTCACGGATACACCCACTCAGCTGGAGATCGAAGACGCGGCCAAGATGGCCAATGCGCATGGATTCATCACCAAATTCCCGGATGGCTACAGCACTCAAGTGGGCATGAAGGGAGAACAGCTCTCTGGGGGTCAGAAGCAACGTATCGCCATTGCACGAGCCATCTTGAAGAACCCCAACATCTTACTGCTGGACGAAGCCACAAGTGCGCTGGACTCGGAGAGTGAGAAGGTGGTGCAGGAGGCGCTGGACAAGGTGGTGGCACTGAAGCGACGTACGACGATCATCATCGCTCACCGCTTGTCGACGATCCGCAAGGCAGACAAGATCTGTGTGGTGAGCGGTGGGAAGATTGCCGAGCAGGGCACTCACCACGAGTTGGTCAAGTTAAAGGGCATCTACGCAAAACTGGTGCACCAGTCTACACATTAGATGGATACACAGACAGCACAATCTACTTAGAAACCAATACGTAAGTAATAATAAAAACATGAGCTAACTGTTCCAGCAGATTTGTATTATCGAGTAGGCAGCACTCGAGTGATATCCTTGGCTTGGGTTTGCTTCATTATTTCCTTCGGGCTATCAAACCACAGTGTAAACCCATGAGACACCTACAGAAACTTGGTACGACGCTTCTCCGTTCCATCGGGTTTCGCGACCTCCGGCACGAACGGCACAAGAGATTCAATCTTGGCCTTGACCTCCGGTGTGACCTTGTCCACAACCGACAGCGCCTTCAAGTTTTGCTTCAGTTGCTCCAAGTTCCTGGCTGCGATGAGGACCGACGAGACGTTTTCGTTGCTGACGCACCAGGCGATGGCAAGTTCCGGCAGTGACACTTCTAGCTCCTCGGCTACAGATTTCAGCTTGTCAGAGTTGGCCACACGTTGTTCATACTCCCCCACGAACGCCTTCATCACGGGGATGTCCATACGTGTTCCCTTGACTGTCCCGTTGGAATGTTTGCCCGTGAGAATTCCACTCGAAAGAGGAGCCCAAGTTGTCAGGCCCAGCTTGTACTTCTTGTACAAGTGAAGATATTCATGGTCCACCCTCGAGCGATTGAGCATGTTGTAGATGGGTTGCTCCACTACTGGGCGGATGAGACCAAGACGGTCAGCGATCTCACACGCCTCCATGATGAGTGGTGCAGGCCACTGGCTGGTGCCCCAGTAAAAGGCCCAGCCCCGTTCAATGACGTAGTTCATGGCTCGCACAGTCTCTTCGAGGGGCATGTACGGGTCCGGTCGAATGCAGTAGAGGATATCGACGTACTCCAGATCCATCCGCTTGAGCGACGCCTTCAAGCCTTCGGTGATGTGCTTGCGAGTCAAACCCTGGTCGTTAGGACCCGAGCCTCCGTGGAAACCCTTCGTTCCCATACCGAGTTTGGTGGCGACCACGAGGTCCTCACGCTTTCACGTACCATCCTGGATGCCCATCTTGATAGCAGCTCCCGTGTACTCCTCTCCGAGACCCATGCCGTACGAATCCGCGTTGTCGAAGAAGTTGATACCATGCTCATCTTCATGATCTCGTACCAGAGTTCTGGGCTTTTCGTCTCGCCATATTCCATCCAGCTGCCGAGTCCGAGCTTGGACCAGAGTTGCCGAGGAAACGGTAGGTCATGCCTGAAGACGCGGGGTTGGAGATGGACGGAGCCATTGGAGTCGTTAAGTTGAGTGCGTTGGTGCTGGGAGATTCAGAAGTGAGCTACAGAGTCGTATCTTCCTGAGTGAGAGCGAGTTGGACAGCAAGGTAGTCTGCTTTCATGACGATCAGTACGGTACGCGTATTCGTGCCACGGGCTGCTTGCATCGATGATGATGAGGGGGGGTTCTATTTTAACTTTCGACTTCTTAAGTTGCATAGCGTATCAAGTAATCTCTGGAGGATTGTTTGTAAGCGAAGCCATCTTGCTAGTTGTACACAGGATTATGAGGACATGTTCATATAAAACCTTAGATTTACGGTGTGCAAACACAGATCGCGTGAGCGTGTACAGTAACTATCGTTTTGACCTAGGTAATCGTTTTTTTGGCTTTTAGTATTATTAAAATTATGGCTACCAAAAAATGGAGTTGATGCATTCTTATCTGGAGCCTATAGAATAAAGTCACCTTCACCGCTTTATTCCCTCGCGTGCTGTTGCGTACGTGAATTGAGCGTTGACTATATCTCGTAGAATGTCATCTACAGCTTACACCATACTTTGAAGTACCGAAATTAATTGCGCTAGGCGTTTTTTCGGTTCAGCACTGTTTTAATTTACGTAATGCGAAATGCATTGAAGTTCCTATTTCTGTACTTCGAGTTTACTGTACACGCTCACGCGATCGTGTTTGCACACCGTAAATCTAAGGTTTTATATGAACATGTCCTCATAATCCTGTGTACAACTAGCAAGATGGCCTCGCTTACAAACAATCCTCCAGAGATTACTTGATACGCTATGCAACTTAAGAAGTCGAAAGTTAAAATAGAACCCCCCCTCATCATCATCACTGCTCGATGCAAGAAGCCCGTGGCACGAATACGCGTACCGTACTGATCGTCATGAAAGCAGACTACCTTGCTGTCCAACTCGCTCTCACTCAGGAAGATACGACTCTGTAGCTCACTTCTGAATCTCCCAGCACCAACGCACTCAACTTAACGACTCCAATGGCTCCGTCCATCTCCAACCCCGCGTCTTCAGGCATGACCTACCGTTTCCTCGGCAACTCTGGTCTGCTCGTGTCCGGATCCACCGGCTAAGGTTGAGCCTTTAGAGATCCGTCTAAGGAAGAATGCGAAACCTTTTCGATGCAAGCCAAGAGCATACCCCCCGCACATCAGGAAGTTCCTGAAGGAGTTCAATGATGAGCTAGTCCGGCTCGGGTGGGTGTTCGAGAACGCTTCTAGTCGGTGGGCGTGTCCAGCTCTACCCATTAAGAAGCCAGGCAAGGATGAATTTCGGCAGACAAGTGATTATCGACCGGTGAACGCTGAGACGGAACCCATTGCAGGTGTCATGCCGATCTTGCACGTGATCACAGAGCACGTCAAAGGCATGAGTTTCTTTGGACTTTTCGACTTCATCAAGGGGTTCTGGCAGCTACCGCTGGCCAAGGCCAGCCAAGAAATTCTCAGCTACATGACGGATGCCAAAGTGTATACACCAACGCGTGTACCACAGGGATGCAGCGATGCCGCGTTACACTTTCAAATGACGATGGAACGTTGTTTTGCTAAATTGCTCCACAAGCATCTTCTGATATGGATTGACGATCTGCTCTTATATGCAGAGGACGTGGACACATACTTGGAAAAGTTGAGTGAGCTTTTCTCGCTGATGGACGAGTTTAGCCTCAAACTGAGCGCCTCAAAATCGTCTCTGCTCGAGCGATCTGTGAAGTGGTGTGGTAAACTTATTGACGGAGATGGCGTGCGCCATGATCCGGAACGAGTTTTTGCACTACGCAAAATGCCGCTACCTTCCAATGCAGGAGAATTACAGCAGTTTCTTTGCGCATGTAATTGGATGCGAGACAGCTTGGTGAGCTATGCTGGTCATGTTCAATCGCTACAGAAACGGCTCGATGCGACACTGGGAGCTGGAAAACGGACCAAACGCGCTGCAGCAAAGCTACCGGTGACCTTCACAGACGAAGAGCGAGCCGCATTTGATAATGTCAAGGACTGTTTAGCTACTGCAGCTACATTGGCACACCCGAGTTCAGAGGGCGTGCTATCAGTATTAACAGACGCTTCAGACGTAGCATGGAGTATCATTGTGACGGATGTTGAGACGTGGGAAGAGGGCAAACCGATTGCAGATCAGAATCACCGACTGCTACACTGTCTAAGTGACACGTTCACAGGCTCACAAGAGAATTGGAGTGTGATCGAGAAGGAGGCTTTCGCGATAGTGGCAGCGTGCGACAAATTACCCCACCTCCTATTGCGACCTACGGGCTTTCGATTACACTGTGATCACCGCAATTAAATCCACGTGTTCGCCCCACACGACACTGTGAAGAAGCATATACGTGGGAAGTTGCTTCGATGGGCAATGAGACTCGGAGAATTCCGGTATGAGATACATCACATCGCCGGTGAAGACAATGTTTGGGCAGACATGGTATCACGTTGGGCACGTACGCCAACATGTACCAGTTTACGCAGAGTCACAACACGCAGTCAGCGCCAGCATGAACAACTGCTACTACGGCCACTTGACCAAGAAGGTTTTGTGTGGCCGACACTAGATGCTATCGTGAATGCTCAACGCAAGGTTGGATCCAAGGACATGCCAGACGGCCTAGAGGAAGGTGATGACGGGGTCCAACGCAAAGACAACCGGTTGTGGATCCCAACAGAGGCTACTGAACTACTCCAACGCTTGTGTATTATTGCACATTGTGGTCCCCAAGGCCATCGCGGTAGGGACGCGATGTTGGCCCACTTGGGACGCGTCTTTCACGTGTCCCAGTTACGCCAATGCGTAGACCGATTTTTGGTGCGCTGCCTACTCTGCCATCATGTTAAGGGGGGGAAGATAGTGCCAAGACCCTGGAGCGAGACTTACCGGACCAATGAGCGAAACCAAGCGCTTCACTGGGATTTTCTATACCTTGGTGAATCATTTGGTGACTTGAAGTATGTATTGGTGCTGAAGGATGATGCGAGTCACTACTGCGAATTGGTTAAGTGTGATCTACCTACCAGTACCGTTGCGGCTGATGCTATTATGGAGTGGCACAGTCGTTTTGGCATTCCGAAAGATTGGGTCAGTGACCAAGGATCTCACTTCAAGAATGAAGTGATTGAGGACCTCTGTGCTAGACTCAAGTGCAAACAAATCTTCTCGCCAACATACAGCCCATGGATCAATGGGTCTGTCGAGCGTGTCAACCGAGATATTTTGCAAGTATTAAGGGTCCTGATACTAGACTACAAGATCAACCATCGTGATTGGCCCAGGCTGATCCCGGTCGTGCAGGCCAGCCTCAACCATACTGCAGTGCCGTCACTGGCCAACAAAACGCCGAGCGAGTTGTTCACCGGCCTGGAGGCCCCCTCGCCTTTGCAAGCGGTGTTCCTCGGGCCTGAAGTGGCTCCAAATATACAGCCAACTCACACTTCTGCTAACATTGAAGAAAGCTTGGCCCGATTGCGAACTAGTGTGAAAGACATGCACAGAGCAGTTACAGACGCCCGCCTCAAGCAGACACTGCTTAACAAGAAAAAGGAACGTGGCGACACCATCGTCAACTTCAACGTAGGCGATTATGTACTGCGATCACGTGTCGATGAGAAGAGACAGATAAAGCTGCTCGTCACATGGATCGGACCCTACTCGGTGAACCAAACAACGTGTTCAAGGTCAAGCACCTTGTTACTGGTGAAGAACTTGATGTACATGCTTCGCGGCTAAAGTTCTTCGCTGACAAGGACCTCGAAATGACTGAGGAACTCCTGGAGCACGTGGCTGCCCAGGGCATTATGCTTCGCGTGCGCGAGCTAATGCAACATCGTTGGAGTGACCAGAGTCGTTCTTACGAAATCCTTGTCGGGTGGCAAGGTTTAGAAGCAATTGAGGACTCGTGGGAGCCTCTTACATCCCTAAACAAAGACGTGAGTGCGTTAGTGAAAGGATATGTTGCTTCGGCCAAAGACGCTAAGCTTGAGGACCATTTTAAAACCCTAGAAGCGTAGGCAAAACGGTATTGGCCGTGTATGTGTGTATACCCCTGGTATAATGACTGTATAGTCACTAAATTAAGGTTTTACCTTGATGCTGTGATTCTTTTGGTCAATATCTTGAGTAATATGCATGGTCAAGTCAACTTCAACGGCAACGTGTTGAAGTTGCACTGGTTATGTCATATATGATTTATACTGACGTGATCATAAGCCTAACGTCACCGAGTGGTGGTACACGAAATATATTTCGTACAAGTTGCAATTTTACCGTGTGGTCGGATTGGTCATGGAAAGGGACTGTAGTGGGTCGTGGTTTTAAAGCCCAACCGAGCCCATGCAATGCAGTCGAGTTGCGGCAGCAAGGTTGACCATCATCATGTGGTTGCAGTCAGCCATGTAAATGTGGCTCAGCGAGATATGGAGTTGAAGCTGAGCGTCTTTTGTTAAGTCAAAGACGCTTATCAGAACTGCCTGCTGTTATCTACAACTGTTCGTCTACTCAAGCTGGTGCATGCTGAAGTACGAGTTGAGCACCATCACTAGGACGCTAGTGATGGCAATGTGGGGAGCAAGTCGAAGTACATGTTTTAGTTTTCTCAGTTTCATTTTTGACAGCTAGTCGACAAGCTCAATACACTCGGCGACAAGACTTTACAGGAAGTGCCAGCTTCCTTCGAGTGTCTCTGAAGTTTCTTCTGAGCGCGACCTACTACAAGATGTTGACAGTGATGATGACAACGAGGGCGTCTCTGGTACTAGCAGCGAAGAAGACGCTGCTGCTACCAATTTGGGCGCAGATGTGATCAGCAATGACAGTGATACCGATGAAGGCGACACTGAAGCCGACCAACCTCGTGCCGCGCAGACCATCGTGGTCTAAGCATTTTAACCCAACTGCTTAGCTTCGTATCTTTCACTTCAATATGTAGCTTAGCAATTGGTCCTGTGTTTGGTAGGGCCGTCAGGAAACCCGCCGACCCAATTATCAGGCCCTACCCGTACACGACCCCAAAAATAGCTAACTACAGATTTCAGCTTGTCAGCGTTGGCCACACGTTGTTCATACTCCCCCACGAACGCCTTCATCACGGGGATGTCCATACGTGTTCCCTTGACTGTCCCGTTGGAATGTTTGCCCGTGAGAATTCCACTCGAAAGAGGAGCCCAAGTTGTCAGGCCCAGCTTGTACTTCTTGTACAAGTGAAGATATTCATGGTCCACCCTCGAGCGATTGAGCATGTTGTAGATGGGTTGCTCCACTACTGGGCGGATGAGACCAAGACTGTCAGCGATCTCACACGCCTCCATGATGAGTGGTGCAAGCCACTGGCTGGTGCCCCAGTAAAAGGCCCAGCCCCGTTCAATGACGTAGTTCATGGCTCGCACAGTCTCTTCGAGGGGCGTGTACGGGTCCGGTCGAATGCAGTAGAGAATATCGACGTACTCCAGATCCATCCGCTTGAGCGACGCCTTCAAGCCTTCGGTGATGTGCTTGCGAGTCAAACCCTGGTCGTTAGGACCCGAGCCTCCGTGGAAACCCTTCGTTCCCATACCGAGTTTGGTGGCGACCACGAGGTCCTCACGCTTCCACGTACCATCCTGGATGCCCATCTTGATAGCAGCTCCCGTGTACTCCTCTCCGAGACCCATGCCGTACGAATCCGCGTTGTCGAAGAAGTTGATACCATGCTCAAACGCCGTCTTCATGATCTCGTACCAGAGTTCTGGGCTTTTCGTCTCGCCATATTCCATAACGCTTCCCACGTACACAAGCAGCTTGATGATTGGGTGATTGTATCGGGCGTTCAGAAGCGGCGCCAGCGCTCTTGCAAGGTGTGCTCCCTCTATCGAGGTGAGCAGAAGAAAAGCTACCAGACTACTTACTACTGTGAAGACTGCTCGCAGGGTGATGCAAAGTGCTTCCTCTGTCCCAAGGCGCGCAGAGGCACGGATACAACGTGTTTTCAAGTGTGGCACGACGACTTCGAATGTGGCGCGTCAATTCCGAGTCACCTAGGTAAGCGTGTCGTTCTGCGCCGTGCCCCCAAGGCCGCCGGAGTGCGAAAGAAGACACGTCGAGAAATCTTGTCTGAGGAGAAAGAAGAGAGCTAGTGAGCCTCCCGTACGGTCTTTAGCAATGCTACTAATGCATTTTGTTGAGTTTTATATGATTGCTGTGCTGTGTAGTTCCGGTTATAACTGTGTTTGTGGATTGTGATCCCGATCACATGATCGGCTAAGTTGTATCTGTGTACTTGTTAGTCAGCGATGCTGAAGTACGTCGTCAGTGTTACGACGTAAAAATCGGAAACCTCTGTATAACTTATAGTCCCATCTTAATGATCAGCCAAGTGGAAAAGACAGACTAATACAAACTCCTAGATAATTGTATGCTGTAAGTTACGACGTAAAATAAGGCGGTTCGTGGCCTGAATTCGCGGTAATAAAGGGGTTACCGTATTCCTTATGTGATTGGCGACGCTCGGTCATTAGCGACAAATCCAGCAGCCAATCAAATTGATTTAAATTTCGTGTCGTCGCGCTTTATGTGCTTGGCGACCAATATAATTTTGAGCATGTTATATAGTTTTTTTATGCAGGTATCTTTTATGCTGGCAGAAAGGCTGGACCACCTCAAGAATTTGACTGTCGCCAATCACATAAGGAATACGGTAAATGAATCCTCGGAAATAGAAAAAAATCGTCCTGGAGACCAAGACGGCGTCATCGCATCGTCCAGTAGCCCCCATGTCGTCCGCGAGCTGTCTGCACCATCATTCGCAGCTTGCAGTTCGTGCTGCTGGCTCTGTTGCCGCGCTATCTCCGATGCACTTTGCTGGCGGACGAATGTCAGACAAATTTGACACACAACCACGCGTACGCTTCTTGTCGATGGGCCCTTGTCTCGACCTGTGAGGACTTTGAATATTTTCTTGATGCGGCAACTCGAGCACAACAGCATGCCACAGACCGCACACGTATTGTCAGAGCTAGGCAAGCCGTCTCGACCGCGACTGTGTCTTCTTAATTCTTCTTTACAGACGCCACAGAGCGACAGATCCATCCACGTTGCAGTTAACGCTCGTCTTCGCCGGCTACTTGGATCCTTGAGAGTGTTGAGAATACACCACTGAAGCTTCTTCTCTTCGGCCAGTCTCGGTGCCTCCCAGAATCCCAACACTGCGACCCACATGGCGTTCATCACAATGGTATCCAAGATATGGCCCATAGTCTCCACGTATACTTGAATGTACACGTCGACTGCTCCATCCTGCTCCTTATACAGCGCCCCATACATCAACTTTCCTCGTGTCATCGGCTTGAGAAGCTCTGGCAGTTGAGGCAGCGGCGCAGGCTGGACCAAATCATACCCGATACGATCTCCATTTGCACGTGTAATGACCCCCGACGCTGATAAATTAATGAAATCTCTAGGACGCACGAGCATGCTTAGTGGCCATCCTTGCTCGCCTACCATCCACATTACACTGAGATTCTGATATGGGTCCTCCACCGTTGGCCCTGACAGTTTCGCTAACGTGGCTCCACTAACGTCATGTGACGAAATCGATGCTGCACGGACACGCAAATCCCCGAAGGTTTGTGTTGTCACTCTAAACATGACGTCGTCCAAGCTGGCCTGGATGGTGCCGACCGCGAGCAGTACGGCTGGATTCTCCCACTTGTCTCCGGGCATTTGCAGATCTCGGCGGCCGATGTGGTGGCGCTCGCAATACAGCGACGCGTTGCTTTGTGTCTTGTGGCGTTTCCAGCGCGCACTATCCAGATTCGAGTGGTGGCGTGGCGATCCTCGTGTGGTGACGACGCGCTCGTCATAACTGCGCAGTGTCCGATCCAAGAGCTGCAGAGTGAGTTCCTGACATTGCTCCTGTTCCTCGAACGTCAGCTGAAGCGGCTTGAACGGAATACGTCCGCGATAACCTTCACCGGCCTCCATTGTCGGCGTGCTACTAGTAACTGGCAAGTGGATTAGTGACCACGGTATCCTTTATCGACCGCGAAGATTCCGGCTGGTCTTCGGATCTTGAAAGCAGACGCCATAGCGCACGCGCGACACCGAAATGCCACAGTACAGTGGCATTTCAGCTCTGAGGGGCTACAGACCACTGCGGAATCTATTAGATTCAATCCAACCTTCACTTCAACGAAGCGAATTTACTGTCAAGTTGACAGTCAACAAATGCGCGTGATCTTTGTAGATAAAAGTACTTCATTCGATGAAGTTCATAGTGTATGCCTACACCGAAATTGACTACTATAATCCTGCTTTAAGATCGTGATCTTTTTCGAAGGTCTATCTGTGCCTTACGTTGGAGCTTGTTCCTTTCCGAAATCTCTTGATCTTCTGAGTTCAAGGTCTCAAACGGTTATAATAGCCTAGATTTCTCTGGCGTGCAAAAGTCTTGAGTTAAGACTACGCTCTGCAGCTGCGTACTCTGCTTCGCTTCCTGACAGTGACACCTTCTGAGAGGTACATGTACGATCTCTTACGGCCCATTCACGAGACAAAATGATGACGGCTTACAAGTTCGGTGAGACTCTGTACCTCTGGGACCCGGAGTCTCAGACTGACTGTCAAGGTTGACACACTGAAGATGATCTCTCAGATCTTATCTATACAGGCTGCACGCATGTAAGGTGAACAAGGGGCCCTGGTCCAGGGCTCCAGGCGTATCAATACCTGTACTACGTAGTTCCTCGCCACACAAAAAAGGTAAGATCTCCATTTCAAATGACACGTTCACTACTTTAGACTGTACAAGTGCCTTAAGCTAACGCTACACGTGCATTTCGTATTGGGCGCTACGTCAGCCATGTTTCTTCTCCGTCAGAGTAAACGTCTGAAATGGAGAAGTGTCGGTCTGGGGACCACATAAACATTGCTGAGTCATCAGCGAGGCCCCACAGCGGTTGACTGCTGCTGCAAGTGTCCGTCGCGGAATACATGAGACGGTATTGGTACTGCTCCCACGCAATTTTAGCTGCGCTCTCCTTCTCGATAAGTTTCAAACAGTTCTTACACAATCTGATAGCTACATTTCGAGTCACCGCGCCTTTGCTGCTTCCCGTGGTCGTTTTAATGGTGCGCTTCACACTGCAGCTAAAGCACAAAATCGACGCACACGCTGCACATGTAATGGTCCCTCGGGAATACTCGCTTTGGTTTCGCGGCACTAGGACAGCTGTACAGCGACTACAAGACGGAAGATCCGTCCGTGATTTAGTCTCCGATGTCTTGCGCTTACTGCTCGCCCTCTTTACAGCGTTGGTGATGACGCACCATTCGAGTTTTTTCTCTTCTGAAAAACTTGGAGCTTTCCAAAACCCAAGAATGGAACTCCAGATCCCGTTCATCATTACAGCGTTCACACCAGCGCCCATAGTCTCTACGTGGACATAAATGTAGACGTCGACAGCCCCGTTCTCCTCTCGAAATAGTGCCCCGTACATGAATTTTCCCCGCTTTATTGAGCCTGGAAGTTCGGGACACTGAGGTAGTTGTGCCGGCTGAACAATCTCGTACCCGATACGGTCACCGTTTGCTGTTGTGATGATCCCACAGGCACACAAGTTGACGAAGTCTCTTGGGTTCACAACCATACTCAGTGGCCACTTTTGTTCCCCCACCATCCAGACCACACTTTGGCTGTTAAACGGATCTTCTTCCGTAGGTCCAGATATTTTGGCGAGCATAGCTCCTCGTATTTCTTGAGATGCCATTGAAGCCGCTCGTAATTGCATGTCACCGAATGATTGCGTCGTAAGTCCGAGCATGACGTCGTCCAGACAGCTGTGAATTGTGCCGACGGCGAGAAGAACCAGTGGACTCTTCCAGTTCCCCCACGGCATGTGGAGATCTTGGGGTCCCCCACGACGGCGCTCACAGTAGAGAGAGGTATAGAGTTGAGTCTTGACACGTTTCCAGCGAGCACTCGTCAGCCGCGAATGGTGGAGAGGGGATCCGTTCGCCGCGACACCTCGCTCATCGTAGCTACGTAGAGTTTGGTCCAGTAACTGCAGTGTGCGCTCTTGACATCTCTCCTGCTCTTCAACGGTCAACTGTAGCGGAGAGAATGGGATGCGACCACGGTACCCGGAGCCCGTGTCCATCTCTAAAGCTGAAAGTGAAACAATTGAGCAGTGCAATTTAGCTCGACTTCAGTATTCGCTGTTGCTTTGTCGTGCACGTCGAGACAGCGCGTTCACATCTTTAAAGATTATTGATAGTCAAACTTTAAGAGCCGAAATTATGCACGCTTTCGCCAGCGTGGAAACTCTTCTTTATGCACTCATAAACTAAAATGGTTTCTTTTCTGAAGCCTACTGAGTGGCTTAACTTGGTGGTCGACCCGTTCTTGCTTGAACTGCGATACCGATACCTTACGTGATGTGTCAATTTAGAAAATTCCAGCATTTTACTTTCCAAAAATTAGAACAATGATATTATTTGTTTTCTGTGAGGGAAAATAATGTATTATGTCGTACTACGTAGTAGTAGTATTGTTTTGTTGTACGAGTTTTGTCTACTCACTATCATGCGCGTCGGAAGAACATTCGTTCCGGGTCGCCCACAGCGATGTCCTCTTCGGGTGGTACCCAAGAATTGCGTTGCTGGCGTGCAAAAAGTCGCAGTTGGATCATACGCTGCGCGAAGAACTTCGTGTCTTCGTAATACTGTCGTTGAGCTGTCTTCGCCATGGCTTCGCGTTGTGCTGTAGTGGTATGTTTAAGTACGTATCCCACGGAGTCGCAAAGATTTTGAGCTGAAAATTTGGCTACAAGTCCATCGGCCGCTTTGAGTCCGTGTGTGCCGCGATATGCTCCTCCAAGAAGAATATCGGGACCGGATTCACGCTCTGTTTCCACTAGGACTCCCATATCCTTTGAAGAGATAAGCTCGTTCATCGGGTGTGCGTCTGTTGTGATGATTACCCCCCCTGACGCACGAGCTTGGTCAATATAGTGACCGTAACCTTCTTGTGTGCTAGGACAGAGGAAAAATGCCGACTCGGCCATCACTTTTCCAAAGCCTACCGAGTCCATCCGCTTACGAATTAAATTCACATTTGGTGCCTCGAGGATCGCATCTTCATAAGTCGATTTGTAGCGTTCTCCATAGATATCCTCATGAATATAAAGTTCCAGAGGTGGGAAGGTGGGATGCGATAACCAGCAGTCAAGGACTTGTTCAGTGCCTTTATATACACTGTAAGTACAGTATGTAAGTTGCAATAAACTACTAAATAGAATATACTTTTTCTTACGTACCTGGAGCCCGCCGTGTGTATGAATTGCACGTCTGCAAAGCTTTTCCGTCGTATATTTTCTGCTCCGAGCATTTCAACGGCGTGTGCTGTAGTGTCTGAAGACGTGAAGCGAGTGTAAAACACCTTGGCATTGCGCGGATTCCCCTCCTGTGCATACCACGCCTTGACTCGCTGATCACACGCCAACGTTCTGCACAGCACAGCATCCACACGCCAATATTCTTTCGCCGTCAGCTCGCGCATCTCAATATTTGGCATGATATAAATCGGCTTCTCTTTCGGCCACTCCGATCTCGTCGGGCGATCATCCCAATAGTGATTGAAGAATAATATCGGCGTCAGTGGACACAATTCGTAGTACATGACGCTTTTATTCGTCTCAGGGTCCAAGAATTTGTCCTCCAACGCCCACAATGGCAGCAATCTCGAGTGTAGATCTGTAAAAAAAATTAATCAGCATCGCTAAAAATATTTTAAATAATACTAAAATCCTTACATTTTGTAAATGCCACCGCATCTTCACAGTATCCAAGTCCGCGGATTCCGTCGGGTAGATAAATGTCCACGTCGGGACATTTTTTCAGTTGTTCAATGACTCGTGGGTCGCCTCTTTCGAGTACTTTCGCCTCTTCTCTCTTCTCTTGGTCGGAGTTTTCAGGTGCACCATGTTGCCATGGGATAATTGCCTGTTTCTTAGCTACACAAGCGGAATGTAGCCAACTCAGATGCTCGCGCTCCTGAACGGGCACATCGCTGTTTTTGTCCGTCATCCATTGTGGCACTTGGATTTTGGCGAACTCGGCGTCCTCGAGATCCGGAGGCGACAGAGCGAAGCGTTCGGAGTCCTCTGGGACCTCCACGAGACGGCGACCGGTAGAGAACTGTGCGTGTCGGAAGAGCAACAGCTCGAGCAGCAGGAAACTCGCAGCGTAGACCAATAGCAACGGCCCAATGCGCCACGAACGGCTGGACGAACGTGTAGGCGTGAAAGATGGCAAGGGCGAAGCCTTGAGTGTCACGGAACGCAGCTCACGCTTCATAGCGTGCGACGCCTGTGGTGGACAGTGAGAATTGAAGAATGTGGTGGGGATTACTGAAGTTGTGATGATGGCTACAACGTGTCGTGCACGGATTGACCAATCACCACGGCGTATCCATTTTCGGAATTATTCGAGCGGGTGTGTAATATGGGTGCACGAAGAAAAGAAGGTATCCGCTTCAACTGGCGGCGGTTCGTCAATGAGCAATAGAAATGCAGCATGCTAATTTGGTTGCATTACCCACTTTAATGGGGTCGAAATTTTGAGCTGCAGTCAGATGGAAATGTCACTGACAATGCCAGCCTAACAATCTGCCAATTGGCCGCACTGTCGTCCGTCGCCTTTTTAAGCTGATTGTATATTTAGAAATCCTAGTAATGGAAGGCTCGCTTTTTTATTACATGTATTTATGCTTCGAAGTAGTACTGTATTATTAAAAAAAAGTAAAGCGCTTCGAAGTACAGGGTACAATTCAATAAAGGAGATCCAAGACGTTTTAGCAGCGATTTTTTTAAAGTACAGCGCTCATATATCGATTGTCAGCGAAATTATAGCTGTGCTATCTAGGGTTTAGTTCCAGCTCATATCACTATACTGTACACCCAATCGAATAAATCCGACCTTGCTTTTTGTCACGGTACACAGCTACAGGGAAGACTCGCCATTCTCTCCGACTACGTTCGGAAGATCTGCTTGCTACAGAAGACGCAGGCCACGTCCAAACAACTATGCCCTCCGGCCCAATCGGCGGCGTTCCAAGTATAGGGTGGAACCGCAGGCCGTCGACAAGAGTGGGAATTTGCGTTGGGCCTCCACGCGGTAGTGGTTTACAGAAAGGTAAGGAACCTAGGGCTCTGCTTGGAGCTTTAGGTAGAAGCCCAGTCGTGATGTTCCTTCTTACAAGAGAAGTGCTCAAGAATACGACAACAAGTTTACATTTACGTGATAAGCCTAAGTTCCTACGTCGGCCTGCTAGATACACGACCCCGACCTAAGGAGAATTACCGCGACAATTTGGTGGAGAAGCAGGGTATCTTCACGCCGAAGAATCGTAGGAGCGTAAGCGCGGAGTGAGCCGCCCCTTTGGCAACGGAGCGCCGAAGAGGGAGGAAAAAGGAAGTGGGAACGCCAGGAGCGCCCACGGTTAGTCCGGTGAGGGGTATGGCGGTGAGACGAGGGAAGAAGGTGGGGGACGGTCGTCTCCGCTTCTGCCCAAGTCACGATTCAAAGCCGAGATCTATGAGGAAGATAAGCGCGCGCCTAGTACCGCCGGAGGTGGCGAACAGGAGGAGGTCCGCGTCAGAGGAAGTGGAGACGTTCCAGCGGTAATTGAAACGCCTCGGTCGGCCGATTCAGAAGAACGGAGCGACGCTGAGAGAGCCAAGCAGCTGGGAATAATGAAGGAGGTCCTGTTAGAACCCGAGACGCGCGAGGAACAAGAGCGGTTGGATGTCATCTTGAAGCATTTAGCTTGGAGGCCAGGACAGAGTGAGAAGCTGAGAGCACTCATGTCAAGAGCGCCCGAGAGGTGGCGTTCTCTTTCGACCCGTCACACCCCTCGCTGACATCCCTCAGGGATGCTGGAAGCGCCAGGGAGGCAGCCACCCCGACGAACGCGAGCACGGAAGCAAGGCTTGCAGGGGGAGGAACGACCCCGGGAACGGCCACGTACCTTTCGGGACGACCTGAAAGTCGGGTGGCTACGCCAGCTCGATCGGCGACGACGCCTGCGAGGTCGGCTTCCACGCCTGCCCGATCCGGAGGAACGCCGGCCCGGTCAGAGGCGACGCCTGCCCGATCGACGACTGCCTCGGCGAGTTTCATGATCACGCCTGCGAAGTCTGCGTCGACGCCTGCCAAATCTGTGTCGACCCCTACCCGCTCATTAGCAGCGTCCGCCCGATCTGGAACGCCTTTCAACGACTGGAGGCTGCAAGCACTGGTAGAAGAGTCGGTCGCGAGAGTACTCCGAAAACTGACGTTGTCGCGCGATTCTAGCGCGGGAACGCCTCGCGAACGGTGGGACCCGATGTGCACTACACGCCTGGGTCGGCCAGATTGGAACGTACGGGGCTAAACCGACCTCCGAGCGCTCATCGAATGGAGTACCAGAGACCTCAGATCCCTCGAGCCCCGACACCAGCGAAGACTTCAATGTTGGTGAAGATGCCTTTGGGAGCGGTTCCCGCGTACCGAGGCGTACCGAAGAAGATTAGTCCTTACGGGAACGGGATAGTAGGCGGAACGCCCAGAATGGGAGCGCACTATTCCCAGTACCAGTCGATGACCCAGCCTACTGCCGGGTGGGGCCAGAGTGGAGCGCTACCCGCTAGGTCCGCAGCTCCCGTAACACCAACTTAGGAGTATCCGAATCTGCCCACGCTATGCCTCTAGCGACAGAGGGTGCATCACCGTCGTATATGAGGAACCAAGGCCTTGAAGGGAGCGCCGGATCCCGAGGTGCTGAGTATCGACGCGAGGGCGTCCCTGAACGCGCAGATTACCCTTGGCGAGCCATTCCTTACGTTGGTATCCTGATTGAGTTGAGGAACGCCATGAAGGTGATCGCTCCATTCTACTCGAAGACGGCTACGAACGAGAGAGCGGCAGCTTTCTGGCGTTTTTTCGAGAGGTGCACCTACGGAATGGACAGCCTGATGCGGTTGACGGCGTTCGAGCAATACCTCAGGGGTAAGGTGGGTCAGGCGTGGTGGTATAACTCGAGGATCGACAGTTTCGAGAACCTTCGAGTAAAGTTCCACAACCGATTCATCTGCCAAGCGCCTGCCCAACTCTGGAACCGCCTCAAGAACGCCAGGCGAAGTCGCGGTGAGTCGGCCGAGGAGTGGACCATGTGCGAGGCCCTGAACTACCATGAGCCTCGTATGAGGTACAAGTTCTTCTTGAACGGCCTGCGGAACAAGCAGATGAAGGCGGTTTTGAACGGTAATACGGTCGGAACGATCCGATAGGCCTGCGACCTGCTGATTTACAAGAATCTGCACATGCCAGTCGAGGAGGAGGACGAGTTTGTGGACGATGGAGCGCCTGTGACCCGCAAAAACAACGCGAGCTCGACGCAGTCGCAGATGCTACAGCAGTTACAGCTAATAAATCAGTCCATGCAGAAACAGCTACAAGGTGCAGGGGCGCAGCAAGGATACATCAGCGCGATAGTGCCTGCAGTTTCTCATGATCAAGGCGTTCCGACTCCGGTTGGGAGCGCCTCGTCGGCTGCGAACGCTTTAACGCCTGAGAACGCCCCGTCGAGCCTTGGCCCACTGAGGATTAGCCTCGGCCCAGACACGCGTACAACGGAAGGAGAAGTTGTACGTGGTCGCGAAACCTGCCCGCGAGGACAAGGGCGATGCAACAGGTGCAACGAGCTCGGTCACTTTTTTATGGAGTGTAACTGGCCGAGACCCCACGGATCCTATCGGAACGAAGAACGCCGTCGTATGGAGTGCTTTCTCTGCGGCGAGAAAAACCACTCGGTGGCAAAATGCCCTAGCCCGGACCGACTGCGTAGCTTGATGCAGAACGCGACCGCTGGGAACGCCATCGCGTCATCCGGAACGGCTCAACAGTGAAGGGGGCAGGAGGGAGGGAAAGGAAGTGTCGCTCCTTCCTCTTGCCTAAAGGGCGACACGCCGAGTGGTGAGGGCCCACCTAGACTAACTACTAGTGGATCCGAGAATACTCTCCCGGGAGGTGTGACGGATGTGAAAAGTACTCGAGGCGTGCCAGTCTCAAGTGCGAAGACTGAAACTGTGGAACAGGAAACGAACGAAGCGAGCAGCCCAACGGAAAGGGTGGGCTCCATACTGGGCAAGAACGAAGTGAGCATCCCAACGGGACGGGTGGGCTCCATAGTGGGTAAGAGCGAAGTGAGCATTCCAACAGAGCGGGTGGGCTCCATCCTGGGCGAAGTGAGTATTCCAACGGAGCGGGTGGGCTCCATCCTGGGCAGGACGAAGTGAGCATCCCAACGGAACGGGTGGGCTCTAAACTGGAAGAGAGAGCAGTCCAACGGAGCGGACCAGCTTTCGGCAAGAATGGGGAACGAACGGCTCTTTGAGTGAGCCCAAGGGAAGAGAGGAAAATGCGGAAAAGGCAACGGAACGCTTGGCCGCTACGCGAGAACGAGGGGATGGAACGACGAAGCGTTCCAAATGAGAAGGAAGGGGCGAGACTGGAACTACGGAACGCTTCAGTGCGACGTCTGAGATTGACAAGAATGCCTTGTAAACGACGACTGAAGATGCCGCGAGTGCAAGAACAAACCAAGTTTTGGTGGTAATAGGGGTGGTTAGTGCGACTACCACTCAGGAGACCGAAAGTACTAAGGAGAAGGATTCTACAGGACGTTACGACCGCCTGTTCACCGACGAGGAGCTGAATATGCTCGAGCACGGTGAAGGTCACAGAGCAAAGGATGAACCCGAGGAGCACGAGAAGGAACTTGAGAAGCGATGGTACCCCGTAAATGAACAGGGCGCTCTGCTGCGAGCAAAAAGGAACGCCGAGGAACAAGGGAACGCCGACTCTATCAAAAATGAGTGCGGTACTAGGGATCTCAGACGAAGTACTGGAACTCACACGAAAAGTCTCGTCAGGAGAGCTAAGAACGCCTGAGTATTGGCTGAATTGGTATGACCGGAAGCCGGAGGCTTCTACGGGGGCCAAGCGGGTGAATCAAGACTTTAAGGACGCTAGTGAGCAAACGGAACGGCTGCCGCCTGTTATAGGTGTGATTTCCGATAAGATGAGCGCAGACACGGAATCACGAGAAACATCTGAAGAGGACGGGGAGCGCGACTTTGAGCGGAACGTATGTGTTTAGCTCGACGATCTTTCTGTTCCAACCACCAGGGCTACCGACGAGAAGGTTGGAACGCTTCCGTTCAGGTGGCGTTCCAAGATAAGGAGTCGTGTGTACGAGCTCCTGAAACAAGGAAAGAACGCCCTAATGGAGCGCGAAGTAGCGAATCCAAAAGGGGTAGAGCAGGACGGTGCGACAGAA